ATTCTCACACCCAGCAACATTAGCAGTTAAACCCAAAATTCTAATGGCTAATGTTTGGAGATGAGGAGCTGAGTTACTATATAAATTCCACCATTCAACTGTAAAAAGTGTTATGTTGACAATCGTTATTTCTAAGTTAATGTAACTATGTAAGTATTAAGTAAATTTTTTTAAAGGTTAATATTTTCACTTACCAGGAGATCTTGTCGTTCTAGATCTTTTGCAATCGAAAGGCCAAATTGTTGTTCAACTTTAGTGTACAATAGTATCTTAGATATAATCTTGTCTTGTACTTCAGTGCTTGGAACCAATTTTTCAACACAAGCACACAACCCATCTGTTACTTCTCTACAATTTTCAGTAGCTGAATTTTGATAGAAGTACTCTAGATTTAGAAAATGTCCAGCTGCATGTATTGGATGACTCATTGAGATTGCCATCTTTCATCAATAATCTTAAAGAACTCTTTATACTTTGCAATATTCCCTTCAAATGCCTTTGCAATAGTCTCCTTAGCTCTATCGTTGGCTTTATAAATGTACCCCATTGCCGGTTTTTTCTCATTATCAACTAATTGCAACACTTTAACAAGAGGCTCCATTATTTTCAAAATATGCACAACCTGATTCCAGAATGTTGTCATCAAGACGGTATGAGCTACACTTTTTCCCTTTGGTAACTTAGACCATCTACTAATCACCCATTTGTTAGATTTTAACATTACTCGCAAATTAGTTATTTGACAATGCAACTGTTGCAAAGTCAGAAAACTCGTTGTAAATCGAGTAATACCACATTTCACCAAGTCTTTATTTTTAGTGAAATCTCTCATATTTAAGACTCCTGATTCCCCATAAATGAAACCGACAAGGACAATTGCTCTTTGAAGGGTCTTCTTAATGTTTGGAATTTTCCCTATGTCTTCCAACATAAGATCTATACAGTGGGCTACACATGGCGTCCAGTATATGTGTCTTCTTTTTCTCTGCAAGAGTTGGCCTATAGAAAAAAAGTAAATAGATATGTTAAAATTTAGAAATCAGCTATAGAAAAAAAGTAGATAGATATGTTAGAATTTAGAAATCAGAACTTTGAATCGATATTAGAAAGTAAAACAGAAACATTTAAAGTAATAAATTCTTACCGGCCAACACAAAATTGCTACCATTATCACTTATACCTTGAACCACATTATGCTCTCCAACGCGCTCCATGTATCTATCAAGCAATTCACATGGTTTATCTCCGGTCTAAACAAATGAGGAAGCATCTATCGACTCCATAAACACTGTTCCATGCGGATAATTCACCAAAAAGCTTATCAAAGTTTTTTATTTTCTATCTGACCATCCATCCGCCATAATGGAATATCCATACTCCAGTTATTCTTCTTTATGTTTGTTTATAATCTCATTGGTTAATTCACCTCCTTCCTAAGTAACGGAACCTTTAATTCGTGGTATCTTGGAAACTTCAAGTTGAACGATACCTTCCTATAGCCTCAACTGCTTCCTTAAAACTTTTTGAGCGAGCAACATTGAACGGGATCCCATTATCGTAAAAGAAGCGACCAACTTTTTGAATTGTCGTTGCTCTTGCTTCTTTATCACATGAATCTTTGATATTTGTTTGCCTAAGTGTTCCTTGCTTTTGTAGAAACACATCCATTGGTCCATTTCCTTTGGCCAATTTCTTAATAGAGCCATTAAGAAAGCTTCCTCCAACTCTTTTCTTATGAATGATCTAGTGGACTTCATCTTCTCCACCAACATTGTCTTGATAATCAAACTCATCAAGTCCAGAAAATTCGTTAGTATAGACTTCCTTTCTTTTTTTTCCTCCTCATATGATTTTTCAATTCCTTTCTGACCTCCTTTGAGCATATTGCACATTTGCCACATTCCTAAAGTTCCCAATCAAATGTTGTTTTGCCCGATTAATTCCATCTATGGTTGTTTTTTCACAAAAATTGCATGTGACTCTTATAGTGTCATTAGGATTCTTCAAGTTATTATATTTCCATTTGTTCATTTTTTTTTCCAGTGTTAGAATGGATCTTGGCTGGAAATATAATCATTTGAAGGGTCCTAATGACACTGCAAGAGTCACTTGCAATTTTTGTGGTAAAACAACCATAGATGGAATTAATCGGGCAAAACAACATTTGATTCGAAACTTTAGGAATACAACAAAGTGTGCAATATGCTCAAAGGAGGTTAGAAAGGAATTGAAAAATTATACGAGGAGAAAAAATTAAGAAAGGAAGTCTATACTAACGAATTTTCTGGACTTGATGAGTTTGATTATCAAGACGATTTTGGTGGAGAAGATGAAGTCCACGAGATCATTCATAAGAAAAGCTTTCCTAGTGGCTTTAGCAAGAAATTGGCCAAAGGCAAGGGACCCATGGATGTGTTTTTACAAAAGCAAGGAACACTTAGACAAATAAATATCAAAGATTCATGTGATAAAGAAGCAAGAGCAATGACAATTCAAAAAGTTGCTCGTTTCTTTTACGATAATAGGATCTAGTTCAATGTTGCTCGCTCAGAAAGTTTTAAGGAAGTAGTTGAGGCTATAAGGAAGTAGTTGAGGCTAGAGGAAGGTATGGTCCAAACTTGAAGTTTCCAAGCTACCACGAATTAAGAGTTCCGTTACTTAGGAAGGAGGTGAGTTAACTAATGAGATTATAAACAAACATAAAGAAGAATGACTGAAGTATGAAGGTTCCATTATGGCGGATGGATGGTCTGATAGAAAACAAAATTTTTTGATAAGCTTTTAGGTGAATTCTCCACATGGAATAGTATTTACGGAGTCGATAGATGCTTCCTCATTTGTTTAGACCGGAGATAAACTATGTGAATTGCTTGATAGATACGTGGAGCGCGTTGGAGAGCATAATGTGGTTCAAGTTATAAGTGATAATGGTAGCAACTTTGTGTTGGCCGGTAAGAATTTATTGCTTTTAATGTTTATGTTTTACTTTCTAATATCGATTCAAACTTCTGATTTCTAAAATTTAACATATATATCTACTTTTTTTCTATAGCTGATTTCTAAATTTTATCATATCTATTTACTTTTTTTTTTCTATAGGTCAACTCTTACAGAGAAAAAGAAGACACATATACTGGACGCCATGTGCAGCCCACTATATAGATCTTATGTCGGAAGATATAGGGAAAATTTCAAACATTAAGAAGACCCTTCAAAGAGCAATTGCCCTCGTGGGTTTCATTTATGGGGAATCAGGAGTCTTAAATATGATGAGAGATTTCACAAAAAAATAAAGAATTGGTGAAACGTGGGATTACTCGATTTGCAAAGGTTGCATTGTCAAAAAACTAATTTGCGAGCAATGTTAAAATCTGACAAATGGGTGATTAGTAGATGATCTAAGTTACCAAATGGAAAAAGTGTAGCTCATACCGTCTTGATGACAACATTCTGGAACCATGTTGTGTATATTTTGAAAATAATGAGGCCTCTTGTTAAAGTGTTGCGATTAGAGAATAAACCTGCAATGCGGTACATTTATGAAGCCATAGAATAGAGCTAAGGAGACTATTGCAAAGACATTTGAAAGGAATATTACAAAGTATAAATATATCTTTAAGATTATTGATGAAAGATGGCATTGTCAATTGCATCATCCATAACATGCAGCTGGAAATTATCTAAATCCAGAGTACTATCAAAACTTAGCTATTGAAAATTGTAAAGAAGTAACAGATAGTTGTATGCTTGTATTGAAAAATTGGTTCCAAGCACTGAAGTACAAGACACGATTATATCTTAGATACTACTGTACACTAAAGTTGAACAACAAATTGGCCTTCCGATTGCAAAAAGATCTAGATCGACAAGATCTCCTGGTAAGTGAAATATTAACCTTTAAATTTTTAATTATTTTATGTTTAAAATTTTACGTAATACTTATATAGTTACATTAACTTAGAAATAACGATTGTCAACATAACACTTCTTACAGTTGAACGGTTGAATTTATATGGTAATTCAGCTCCTCATCTCCAAAAATTAGCCATTAGAATGTTGGGTTTAACGACTAGTGCTGCTTGGTGTGAGCGTATTTGAGCATGTAAGTACTCGTAATGATATACTTCTTATTTATTCATTTTCTTTGCATAGTTAATCAATTAGACTAAATTACTAATATTAAGATAATCCATGCAACAGATCCATACAAAAATAGGAACAAATTGGGGCATCAAAGATTGAAAGATCTAGTGTATGTCAAGTATAATCGTGCTTGAAAAGCCCGTTATGACTTGCGGAGTGTTATTGATCCAATTTCATTGGATAACATTGATCATAGTAATGAGTGGCTGGTCAGGAAGATGGGTGTTAATGTGGAAGCAGAAGATGAGTTGGTGTTTGATGATGTTGCAAGTGCGTCAGGCAGTGAGGACGTGTTGACATACACAAGGCGACAAAAGAGACAGTCAGAAGTTATTACAACTAATGCCTCAAGTTCCACGTGTTGAGTCTGTTGACATAAAAGATGAGATTGTTTCTGATGAGTCAAGGGAAGAAGAGATTGGAGGCTATAGTTCTAGTGACACCAGTGAGAATCACCCTATTGAGGATTATTATATGGAGGAATATTATTTTAGTTCTTAGAAGTGGAATCAAGAATGGGTTTATCTTTCCATATTAAGACTTAAGTTGATGATTTGATCATTTTAAGCAATATATATTTATCATTTATGTGTCTATTATGTTCTCCAAATATTATATATATATATATATATATATAATGCGCTTTTTTTTTCCCAGTGAAGCCCACGCTTTAAGTGCACTTTGCGCTTTAAGCTCCAACAGGGCTTTTGTGCTTTTCGTTTTTGACAAGACTGGCTGCTGCTTCTCTTTAAATAACTATTCCAATGCATTCTCCACTAGGACTTTATGTTGATGGTTTTTCGTGCTGAACTAACCTAATCTATATGTAATTATTTGATTTTATGTCTTCTCATCAGCTTCTCTCTATCAGAAACGATCTTTTCGATACGTTCAGGAAGAGGCAAAAGGGTGCAATGGAACCTGAAGAGGTGCAGTTAACTGCTGACTCTTTACACAGGTTAGTTTAAGTCATCACAAATCCTATGAGGTGATTGATTAGCGGACCTAGATGCATGCATTTTTAATTACTCTTTTTTTTGTAGATTTGTTTATAGTTAATCCCAGAAAAGTAAATGATAAAGGGCAGATTTTAAAATACACTCATTATATTGATCTCTTGCAATTAATCTGACTTCTAAATCATTTTGCTTCGCCCCACTTTCTAGTAATGACAACATGACACAAAAAGTAGTCTAACAAGGAAAAGGAGGATAGCTTCGATGAATGCTCTGAACTTTGGGCTGTAACGATGATTGCAAAAAAAAAAAAAGAAAAAAGAAAAAAAAAGAAGAGAAGCTCTGAAGTTGGACAGGCCCAAATGTATATTTTATCAGCTAAATAAACAGCCTATTTATTAGTTATCCAAGTGGACATACACAGGCAGTAGAAGTGTTAATTTTTGTAGGCAATGAGGCTATAGAAAGTTGTAATAACGATAAAAGTGAAAAACCAGAAGTATGAGTGCATGTTGAATTCTCATCAGTCACCATTAAAAGTACTTGCATTATGGAGAAAGGGTAGTGGGATGGGGAACAGGAGAAAGGAAATGTATAAAACGCAGAACTTTTGTCATAACTGACTATCTTAGACCTTTGTAATTTCGAAGTCTGTTACACATGAATAAGCTGCGGTCCTGATGTCATGGAGGTGACAAAAAGTGCCGATGTAATTGAGTGCGGACTTTTTAAGAATGCTGGGTAGACATTCCCAGCAAAAGTAATGTATCTGCAAGATTGGTGCTTGAGCTAGGAGGTTAAGCGTATGAAGTGTATACCTTTCATGATAAAGGAATACTGAGAAGCATCTTCATTTTGATCGGGTGAAATCTAGTTCCGAAGATTAATATTGGTTGCACTTCTATTCATAAATTTAGGTGATTAGATCCAGAAAGACATTGTTGGATTATTTAATTAAGCTGATAATTAATTAAATACTCTGTCTTTTGACCAGAATAATGGAATCTGCCAGATACTGTCCTAAATATTCTGCTCATCAAGATTTTTAACCTAATAGTGTTGCAACTCATCTTTACTACACGTTATTGTGACCTAATATAACTGAGCTTCATATTAGCGATTCCTTCTGAAATCTGTTCTGTAGTACTTATCAAAAGGAGACCAGCCTGCTGCATGGTTTTGTGTTATTCTTTAAGATTGCCTCTTGCCTTTACTCTTGCTATCAGGAACATTTTCACTGTCAACTTCTTCTTTGAAGTGCAAATAATGTAATTTCTCCAGTCCATTGATTGTTTTGGCATAAAAAGATTATGATACTGTTGGTTTGCAGAATGTTGCGAGCTTTTACTGAGCAGTCAAAGGGGGAGAAGCCTCTGCAAAATGCAACAGATCAGAAAATGCTTGAAATAGTAATGGCAAGGTGGGACGTCATTCTGGTCTTTGTGGTTGCTTGTTTGATTTGTGAAGATGTTAAATCATACTACACCCCATAGTAGAGAAGGGTTAAATATTTTCCTTTTATGCCATTGTTATTTTCTAACTTCTATGAATATGCCTGTTTATCATCCTTTCTGATGCTAGGAAACATATGCTATTAAAGATTTACTTTTGGTTGCTTGTCATTACATGTTTACCTAATTTCTATTTTTTGGATGAGGAAATAGAATTTAAGTTTCGCGATAGACATGAGCAATTTAAGGGCAAAGTATGTGGACCTGTTGAGCATTTGTTGTATGGCAATTGAGATAGAAGGTCAGAAAGAAGGGCGAGAAGCACAGTAGATAGTTTGGATATGTGTTTGCCCAGGGGGATTAAAATTTTCTCTAGAATGTGGGGTAAAAAAAAGGTACTAAGAGAGTATGATGAAGGCCATGGAAGAAGACCATAGTCAGCAGATATGATGAAGCACATATTAATCAGATTTGTGCTTCTTATCAAATTAAAAATCAGATATTATTTGGGGCAATTTGGTTGCTCATTAGTAACTATAATTTGGTAACCATGCGGATAATAGTATCTGTTGTTCTCTGTTAAAGAATGAATGTAGACATAAAGAATGAATGTAGACAGATTACTTGTACTATACATAGATAGAATAAGTATTGAGATTTGATAGCAGATTTTTAGGATTTTCTTTTACTTCTTTCCATAGTTAGGATCCTATGTACATGTATATATATGTATCACTTCATGGAATAAGACACCAACTTTGATTCTTGCATGTCTTGTTTGTCGCATTCTCTGTTCATCTGATGCATGTCATATCTTTCTGGCTGATAGTATGGATGTTACACTACTCATTAGTCATTAGCCTAACGTTACATCAGAAGTCCTCAATTGCTTGCTTCCTTGCTAATTTTTTAGCACGAGGAGGATTACATCTAGGCGTATCCTCTGTTCGGTTCGTCTCAGATAGTTTTGTTCTGCTACGACATTCAAAGAGTTAATCTGACCGACATATTATACATGTATTTCTTGTTGTTGTTGAACTAGAGTCTAGTAGTCTTCTATTCAAAATTCCATGGTTTTAGTAATAGAAGAGGGGACTAGTATTCTTCTAAGAATCTTGCTACATTTTAAAGTAGGAAAGCTTATCCAATTTCTAAATAGTATTAGGTACTATATTAAATGGTCATTATTGTTCCTGTTTCCTTAAATTGTGGTGCCTCATACATGGAGAATCTGTTCTGTATCTTTGTCATTGTACTTGCTATTTCAGCTAGTCGAATCTATCCAATTGTAGATGGAAGAGGGTTTTTTCCATATTGACAAGTTACAGGATAACAAGAGGAAAAACCTTACACGGGGTTGGTTTGATTCAAGGTTGGGGTATCCGTTAAGAAATAAGTTAAGGTGGGGATATTTATCAACTTTAGTTAAGAAACTGGAAGTGTCTCATATACTGGAAGGACTCTTTCAACTCACAAATGATAATCCTAGCTCCGTCCTTTTCAGTTTCAAGTAGTTTGGTAGTTTTCCATGCTATGCTGAATATTTGTGGATTAGTGCATACTAGATTATATGTGTCACGACCCTAGTTCACCAACCGTGAACATGTCATGACGGCACCTGGTCCCCATGACCAGGTAAGCCTAACATTTGCGGAAATATAATAATTGCGGAAAGTAGAGAAAATCAAATCAAATATCTAAAGGAAACTGTACTGAATGCCGCTTGGCAAGTACAACTCAATATCACAAGTCTAAACAATTCCCAAAACCCGGAAACTCACGGGCAACACAGGCTACAGAAGTGTATAGTAAAGGTTCCAAACTCCAGAATTTCTAACAACCGAAAGAAGGAAAAACTAGGTACTAAAGATAGAATAAGAGGGAGACTCGTCGGTCTGCGGACGCAGCAGATCTACCTCGAAGTCTCCGTAGTCCTCCTGCCTCACTCATAGTGGGCTTGAGTAGAGGTACCTGGATGATCTGCACATGAAAAACATGCACAGGAAGGGCATGAGTATACCATAGCGGTACTCAGTAAGTGCCAAGCCTAACCTCGGTTGGGTAGTGACGAGGAAGGTCAGGTCCATACTGAGACAAAATATAGTAATACAGTAATTAACAGTATGATAATCTGACAGAAATAATAAAGACAACAGTGAAATAAGACAGGTTAACCAAGGCAATAGCAAATACACAAGAACGGAACAACCACATAATAAGTACAGCTCAATACCAATGGTAACAATAAGGATCTCCCAGGATACCGTCTTGTAGTCCTTTTCTCAACTGCCCAGTGGATCTCCCGGGATACCGTCCCGTAGTCCATCATATGTGTATATCCGAAGGATCTCCCGGGATACCGTCCCGTAGTCCAACTATCAATGTGCAGGGGGATCTATCGGGAATCTAACCCGCAGTCCCAAAGTAAAAGTGCAGGGGGATCTACCGGGAATCGAACCCGTAGTCCCAAAGTAAACAAACAAGGGGGGAGCTACCGGGATCCCACATCCGTAGTCCCAATGTAAATGCGCAACCACAACCAGAAGATATTCATAAATGAAGTACAAAAGACAAACATCAGGTAGTACTAGCCTAGCATGCTTCACGTAGTACAGTCAAGGCAACTTAAACAATTAGGCAAGTTAAATCAACTAAACATGCTTTTCTAATCTAACACAGGTTATAACTTGCAAGTAGAATAAAGCAAATATGAAAGGAACTCAATCTCAATATCTTAAGAAAAACCGGATTTCCAACAATTGGCTCAAGTACACGCCCGTCACCTCGCGTACAAGGCACTCAAATCAACAAATAACAAATCCTAAGGGGAAAGGTCCCCCACACAAGGTTAGACAAGCCACTTACCTCGAATCGGCACCAAAATCAACTCGAAATCACACTTTTGCCACGAGTATCCGACTCCAAATGGCCCAAATCTATTCAATTCAATTACATATCGTAAGTAATATTGCAAACAACTGATTCCACTATTAAATTTAAAGCTAGGACGCGAAAATAGGTAACATGACCAAAACGCCCCTCAGACCAACGTCTCGGGATCGAATAATTTTCACATTTTCAGAACCCTCGTACTCTCACGAGTCTAACCATATAAAAATCTCCCAAATCGGAGGTCAATTGCCCACTCAAAACTCAATAATTAGGTCTATGAAGTTTCTTCCAAATTTTCCCCCAAATTTTGACCTTGGATTCGAATTCTAATGGTGGATTTAACTATATAATGATGAAATATAACAAGAAGGGACCAAAGAAACGTTACCCAGTGATCTTCACTTCAGCTCCCACTCAGAATCGCCTTAAACCGAGCTCTCAGTTGATTTTTTGTAACTTATGAACTCAAACCCTCGAAATTTCTATTTCTGCCCAGGGATTTCCGCTTCTGCGGACAAGGAACCGCTTCTGCGGTCCCGCTTATGCTGAAGGTGAGCCGCTTCTGCGACTCTCACTAAACGACCACATCCGCTTCTGCGGTCCAGTCAACCGCTTATGCGGTTCCGCTTATGCGGTTCCGCTTATGCGGATTATCCACCGCTTCTACTGTTCCAGCTAAACGCCAAACGGCCGCATCTGCGGCTATTTTCTCGCAGATGCGAGGCCGCTCCTGCGGAATTTCCTCCGCATCTACGACGCCTGGAAACTCTGCCCCAAACCGCTTCTGCGATGATCCAGCCGCTTATGCGGCTCCGCTTCTGCAGTTCCCAAGCCGCAGAAGCGAAAATACCAGAAGTTGAAAAGAACCAGCTGCTGCAACACTTCAAAAATCTCCCCGTTAACCACCCGAAATCATCCCGAGGCCCCTAGGACCTCAACCAAAAGCAACAATACCACCTAATACCTTATTCAAACTTGTACCAATCCTTAAAACACCTAAAACAACACCGGAAGTCCGATTAAATAAAAGATTCAAGCCTAAGAACTTCAAATTCTAACAAAACACACTTTCGATCAAAAACCAAACCAAACCTCGCCCGAATGACCTGAAATTTTGCACACACATCCCAAATGACATGACGGAGCTACTGCAACTTCCGGAATTCCCATCCGACCCTCGGATCAAAAACTCACTATCGGACCGGAAACTTCAAAAATTCAAACTTCGGCATTTCAAGCCTAAATGAGATACGAGCCTCCAAAATACATTCCGAACATGCTCCCAACCCCGAAATCACCTAACGGAGCTAACGGAACCATCGGATTTCCATTCCGAGGTCGTCTTCACACTGTTCCGATTACGGACCATTTTTCAATTCTTAAGCTCTCATTTAGGGACTAAGTGTCCCAAAACACTCCGAATCCCAACACCGAACGTCCCGGCAAACCAAAATAGCAGAAATGAACTTAGGGGAAGCAGTTAATGGGGGATCGGGGCGTAAATTCCAAAAACGACCGGCCGGGTCGTTACAATATGCTAGCAGATCATGTCTGGAGCGAATTGGTTTATAGCTAATATCATGTAAGCGGGTTTTCTTAAATTTAGGTATGAAAAGGAACTGATGCATCCAATTCAAAATCTCTTCTCAGGGGAGCTTGCTCGTGCTCTTCTTATCCAGGTTATATACTCCACTCTGTTCCGACTAGTACTTTCTAGTATTGGCATGTAACATATGTTTCTGCATTACAGGTCCAGAAGCTGAAGCTTGATATTGAGGAGTGAGTTTGTGCAACTTCCTAAAAATGAAACATCTTGGTGTTCAAGTTCTGGTTTCCTGATCTGGTTTCTGTATGTCTAAAACAGGGCTATGCTGGAGCTAGATCAAATTCTTAGGGCAAATGAAATCAACTTTGCTATTTTAGCTGCTTTGCCTGCTTTCTTCCTCTCCCTTATTGTGATCATGGTGATGCGTGCTTGGATTAAACAGGTAATATGGGTAAACAACAATAAAAGAGTTAAGTTTTAGCTCCCATATCTTACTAAGCTTTACATCAAGCATTAGAGAATCATAAGCTGTAGAGAATCATAACAATTTAATATACTGTGTAGGATAGAGTGGATACTAAGTTCTCTCGTACTAACATATGATTGATTTACTTTGAGAAAACTAGAGCACTTAGCCAACCAGAGATTTTGTAGTTCAACTAAGTAGAAATAGTCCCTGCAATACAAGTATGTCTCAACTCTCAATCCCAAACAAGTTAGGTTGGCTATATGAATCCTCACTGACCATGTCGCTCAACTTAAGCTTATGTCCAGATTTATACAAAATTAAAATAAAAATTCTTTATCAATTTTTTTTTAAATAAAAAAAGTACTAGAATCCTGTATACTTTCTACTGACCAAAAGACACCTAGAAAACGTAGGACCTAAAGTAAACGTATTAACATGACATGACTAAAATTCAATTCCAGCTAATTGGTATCGCATATATAGATCATATTTTCTGTTGTACCCTATTTCACCAGGTCTACACGATTACAAGAGATTGTAAGTCCTTCGAAATAATGCCCCTCGTCCTTTTTAACACCTTCACTCATTATGGTTCCACACTTACGGACCAGTGCATTTAGGACATGACTGAACCATTTCAAGCGGTCTTCTCTTGTTTTATTCTCAATGTGTACTACTTGCTCCTTCTGCTGAATGTTCTTATTTTTAATCTTGTCTAATCTTGTATAACAACACGTCCGTCTTAGCATCCGCATCTCTACAACACTCTTCTTGCAGATATGTAGTCTTTAGCGGCCCACATTCTCTCCAATATAATATTGCTGGTCTTATGAGAGTGAATGTTCGGCCGCCAAAGTCCTCAACATACCGCAGAGATGCAGATGCTACGATGAATATGGGGTCATACAAGATTAGACAAGATTAATAATAACCACATTCAATAGAAGGTACAAGTAGCACACATTGAGGACAAAATGATTGAGGACTGCACGAGCTGAATTATTTGAGAAATAATTCATACAATATTTGAGTTTTAATGAACTTTTTGAATAGAATATAGTTAGCAGTTGTTAGTGACAGCTGAAAAAAGAAAAAACTAAGCAGCGCAACAGCTTCAATGGATTTTGATCGAATTCATCACTGTCTTTTCCCTTTCTACTTCAGTCCTTTTGGACAAGAGGTGATTATCTAATTATTGAAAAGGAAAGATTATCTAATTTTCAAGTAAAAGGTTATCTGTTTAAGTTGTTACACTGATTCAGTCATTTCCATCTTATGGGTCATGAGATGTCATGCAAATCCTATTATGCCGTTGATTTTTGAATGGAACCAGGATACGAGAGCAGAAGGCAGAGGAAGGGTTGCACGAATTCAACGACGACTGTTAATCGTTGAAGTAGAAAGAAAGATTATGCAATTGGAAAGATGCAAATATCAAGGACGAGTGAGGATCTCTGTACTTTTTGACTGTCGTTATATGATTAAACTATTATATTTACAATTTTCAGTATTCTCTGTGCCATCTGTTGTAAACTGTGACCTATCATGATGCACATAAATATATAGCATGTATGCTTTTGACGCTTAGGGTTACAAATTGTATTATAATGCATTTGCTCTTACTGTATGTTCTGAAGTAGCACAAGATTCACATTTGTATCAAGGGTTAATGAAGAAGTAATATATTTATATGGAGGGGAACCTGTTGATGTTACTTCAACATGCTGAACTTGAGTAAAGTTGAGGGGGAAGATGAAAATGTATCAGACACCCTCTTATAGCTAAAGGGTCATGCCCAGTTAGCTCTAGTAAATTAAGGTTTGTCAAAGTCCGTTTCCTGTTGAATCAGAGACAAATCAGCTCTCTTATTCATGTCTTTCTCAGTAGTGATTAAGAACACTAAGCCAATAACATGCCCACTTTCAGGTATTTGAACAAGTCATCCTCTCCTCAGTGCAGAATTCTGAGCCAGCCAACTGCCTCTGAAAGTCTCATATTTCTTCCACTTCCATATCATTTCTAGCATGACATTATCAAATAAGAAGCTATTGCTGTCATTCCGTTTTCTCTAGCAGCTATGTAAAATGCCAAATAGATATCTCTAGGAGGTCGATAAAGATGTTTGCTAGACTGCTTGGCCCAACCCCTCCATGCATTCCCCCACCCAAAAGGAAAAACTAAAGGATAAAAAGAAAACCAAGGGACTTCCTGAGTCTTTGAAGCGTTCTCTGTGATTTCAACCATGATTCTTCAACAAGTTGCTTAACAATTGTTTTCCTTCTCCATTTCTCTTTTCTTCCCTGCACTTTTCAGGAAAAAGATGCACAATGCATGTATGGATTGGCGTTATATAGCCTTGATCGCTTATACTGTGCTGTGGAAGGCCATGCAAGGGAAACCGGTGAATGGATAAGGTTTATTTGTCTTTATCTTAATTTTATTTGCCCATGAGACTTCTTTTCAATCTACTATCAGTCACCTGAAATATTTCTCTATTACATTTCACTTCTTTCCAATCTAATATCAGTCGCCTGAAATATTTCTCTATTACTTTTCCGTCTTAACAGTTTGAGGCAGGATATTATTGACTTGGCAAAGCCAGATACTCAAACTGCACATAAACTCAAGATCACCTCACGCATGGAGCGGGTATATGACTGCTTGCTTCCTCTTCCAAAAAGTCGGTAGTTCAGATAATCTTCAAATTTGCTGTTTACTGGAACATACTTAAGAACAGCTTTTACTTGGTACAAATGTTAACGGGGAACCCCCGCCCCCATTTTTTTTCTTTTCTCTGGGTGATATTTTGTCCAACGCTCGGTGTTTGCTGCTTTAGTTGCAAGGTCCACCAATTTTGAAATTGTACAGCTGAATATAGAAATCCAGCTACCACTCCTTACTGAGGACATTTTTGTTTTTCCTGACTTTTCATTTGATATTACTTGCAAGTGTACAGAATTATTCAGTGGCGGACACTGAAATGGAATTAAAGACCAGTTGCCCAGAAAAAATAATTTCGCATGGTGGCCGACTGTTTTTAATGACGTGCCTGCTTTAATTTTTCCTCTTCAGCTAGTTCATTGGCCTAAAGAGCATTAGCTACTACTACAACTGGGCATGAGATTTTTGCGGCATTAAAGACTTTTCTGCTACTAGATGCTTCTTTTTTAACCAGTTAAACTGCATCTGGTTTTGGTGTGGATTTGATTAATTCGGAAGATCATCATTCGCTTCGGACAAAATTTCGTGCTCCGCTCCAGCCTTTGCATCTTTCTGCTGCTTCAGCTTGGCATTAGTCCTTTGATTTACAGTTTTGTAGTCTTTGAGAACTTTGCTTTTCCTAAGCCGGGGTTCTATAAGAAACAACCTCTCTATCTCCACAAGTTAATGGTTAGGTTTACGTACACATTATCCTCTCCAGACTCCACTAAACTGGTTTTTTTTGGCAGTCTTTGAGAACTTTTTAGTCAACGACTTAGTATGATCTAGTGGATCTGGTTTTATGATCCTGTTAAAATCCAAGTCCAACTTCCTTTTTGGGGGATCAAGAAGAGAATTGAGCTTTCTTTTCACTTCGTGAGAGCGCTTTCCGGTCAGCTCGGAGAATAAACAATAACTAACTCTGGTGGCTCTGCTCGCTATAAGAATCTCACCAAATTCAAAGGTTTTAGCAATTTTCACAATTGGAATAAGGAATACAACATGATGAGGTTACCTAATGGGCAGATTATAATTTAAGGGTCAAATAATGCATTATGATGAGATTAAATAATGGGCAGATTATGATTCAAGGCTCAAATAATGCATAGATTATCTTTCCTTTCTACATTTAATACTATATTCATTTAAATTTCTCAAAAAATTGCATTTTTAATGGGAAAGTTAGAATTTTACTTACTGATCAATACAAAGCAAGTGTTGGAGGAAATTTCAATACAGTGCAAGTTGCCAAATAATGTTTATGCTACTTCCCAAACTATTTCATTTATTTCGATAACTATCAAATAAGAACTCTTCATCAAGATACGGGAAATTTTCACATAAGAACAACTGTGCTCTCTACTTTTCAATCTTATAACCCACGTATCAATTTACAATCAATTAGCCCAAAAATAATAGGCTAAGATTCAACATCCAACTCCAATAGGTTCTCGAAATTACAATTTAATTTTTAAAAAAAGATTGCTCAAGCATTTAAGTTAATTTTTGAATCAGTAACCGTGACTCAAATATTAGTTCAACAAACCAAATCCATTCGGGTAGTGAAAATTAGATTTTTAACAAGCTTAAATATTTGGTTTAAATTTCGAATTTGATTTTGTGAAAAATTTGGAGTGGGTGTTATTTAGACTTGTTAGAAATAGTATAAGGAGGTTGTATATAAAATTTGAAGTCATTTAATGGACATTTGGACCAGTCTTGAACAAGAATTGTAACTGAAAATCGTGGAATAAGTTCGTCTACAGACGCCTGTATAAAGGTGTATAAAAGTGTATAATAATGTATAAGATGTGTTTAACACTCATATACACTATTATGCAAAGATAATTATACAAAAAACTGACTTCGTCTTCTTCCTTGTGTCTTTTCTGAAATTTAACTCAAATTTTGCTCAAATCTACCCCAAATTACTTCAAATTTAAATTTTGAACTTCTTTTGATATTTTCAATCAATTGAAACAACATTCAATCCAAACAACTAACAAACTCAAAAAAATCCTATTTCCGAAAGCAAAGCTTTGAATGTCCTTCGATGGTGGACTTCTACTCTTCAATTTTCTTACATTGCAACCAGGTGACACAGGGGGAGAAGCAGAAAATACACGGCCCCTTGAAGCATATGAAGAAGATGTGAGAAGAAGAGAAAGTGAAAGCAACGGTTGTGAGAATATTGATTTAACTCCATAGCGTTTAGAAGCAGTGGTTCAAAGAACACAGATTTTGAATTTGCTAGTGCTTCCAAAATATGTACAATATGGGATAAGGTCGGGTAAAACTTAAACACATGAGCCATTTTTTGTTATGGTGTGAAGTCACGTGTATTTTGTTGTAATTCCACCTATAAAAAATGTAAAAGAAATTGGAAAGTAAAACGGATAGGACCCTCTCAAACAAGGATCCACTTTCCCAAAATGTGTCTAAAGACCAAAACATTTTTTCCCAACAAATACAATAGCTATGCACGAACATGTCCCCTTTTTTAATTTGATAAAAGGCGCCTGAGGTCGCTGAACATGTCCCATTCGCATTCAATATTCTGTTACATATGTTTATAAAAAAAAAGATACAAAAGAAGCAGTGCAAAACTTGTTCACAGCAGAACTTTTACAAGTTATGACTCTCGGCCTTACATGGTTGTTGCTTCTTTCTTTGCTAATCTTAGTAGATCACTACTCTTACACTCATACTATCTTAGGCCTTTATAATCCACACATCTGCATATGTATTTTGATAATTGCAAAAGACAAGAAAGATCACCTCACCATCTAAATATCCTCAATGAATTAGACCTTAGACAGTATACTTTAACCTCAGCATCACACAAACCATCATAATAATGAATATATAAATAAAAAGCCAACTACCTTATAATCATAACGGAATTCGTTATATCCAAAGCCAAAGTGTAAGAATAGGGAGAAATGCTACTATCATGAGGCTCAATTGAAGATTCTATCTTCCAGCTACATATTAATGCTGATACAAAATCCTTGAATGCAAAATATCATTTCGAAAGGGCAAAATACATAGTTTACCTATCGATCTTGTACCCGAATCTCTCTTACACACCTGTTTATCACGGGGACAATATTACACACTCAATCTTTTAAAAGTGTATCAATATCCCACCACTTTTGACCAGTCCAAGTAATAGTCTATGCTGTGTATAATACACGCGTCTCTAAATTAAAAGAACCCTTTTAATCACCCGACCCTTTTAAAGATCCAACCATCTCAAATAAAAAAATTCAACAATCAGTGCACCACCTTCTCCACCATTGCAATCCCTTTTCTTTGTAAAAAAAATACTCTACCATAGTTACCACAAAATTACTAGTTGTAACACCCAAATAGATACACACAAATAATATATCCAAAAAATCTTCACCGGCCGGAATTTTGCCTAAACTCCATCTCCGACCATCCCTTCTTTCTGGTATTACATATTCTTTTTCACAAAAGTCAATAGTGATGAGCCAGAAGAAAATAATGAAAAGGAAAATTTTTAGATCTTTATTTGGCACAATTGAACGAACCACAAAAACCACTTTGTCAACAAAATTCCAAAACAAAAAATTGAAAACTTACCTTCTTCTGCAATTTTGCCCTTCTCACTGACATAACTACCACCAAGAAATTTTCGGAGAAATTTCGGATCTTGAGCAACCAAAAGAAAATGGAACGGGAAAAGGTTGAATCGGGGAAGAAGACAAAATAGGGGGAGGGGAGACGAAACCTGGGGGGTGGGGAGGGAAGTCGAAGGGGGGAAGGGCATCTAGAGAATATAGTGCAGATGGGGAGGTTTGGAACTAGGAAGAAGACGCGGGGTTGGGGGTTGGGGCGGGGAAGAAGACGAGTGGGAGGGGCTACTTTTTTTTAAAGTGGTGTGTTGACACACTTTTAAGAGGTTTGAGTGTGTAATATTATCCCCGTAGTGAACAAGTGTGTAAGAGGAATTTTGGTACAAGATGGATGGGTAAACTATGTATTTTGCCATGCGAAAGAGGCAAGTTTTGGGTCATAACTAGCTGCTTCAATGCACTAACAAACGACAAGTTCCTAGAATAATTTAGTCCATAAATAGGGAGAAATGCCACAATTATGATGCTCAATTGAAGATTCTATCTTCCAGCTACATATTCATATCATGCAACATGCTGATACGAAATCCTGGAATGGGCTAAAGATCAATGCGAAAGAGGCAAGTTTTGGGTCATAACTAGCTGCTTCAATGCACTATAAACTACAAGTTCCTAGAATAATTTAGTCCATAAGTGTGCTAATATTTTCTGGTATGAGAGGCTGTCGAATAGCTTTAGTAAGAAATAACTAGAGTATATGACAGAGATAGTCAGCTTAGTACAAAATGGAGCTTCTTTGCTCAAGTTGTTTCAGGATTTATTGAAATCCAAGTGCTGCAAGTTGCTTCAGAATAACTTAATAGGCATGTGCTTGCTCTCCAGAAACAGGGGTTATACATCTTTCTGGTGGTCGTTACATGCTCCCTTCAAGGATGATTAGCCTTATAAAATGTAGCTGCAATTTTTAGAAACCATAAAAACATTGGAACCATGAACAATTAAAAGGGTAAAAAGATGCATAAAGGTAATTTGGGAGGGTTGGAGAAGGTCCCTGACTTTTGACTTAAGAGTGTTACAACTTCAATTAATCATGACTAAGATTATCATAAATATAAGTAGCAGATGGAATATAACTTCCAGTTATATAACTTCTATAGACTTTCAAGGGAAGGAGAAGCTTGTTCAACCTTTTGCTACAACGAACCTTGTTTTCAAGGCTTAAGCTACTTGCAAAATAGGATATACAATTAGGGAACATAGGTAAATCATGCTCTATTGACACACTAAACATTGAGAACAGGATAAACAATGCTTCATCATTTTGATCTGCGAAATCAGTAGGGGGTGGATTAGTTGTTCATAACATCAGCTTTGACTTCCTGAAAGTTCATTAGTACATAACAACTAACAAAGCACCTCACTGATATGTCACAAGCCACAACTCAAATGACAAGTGAGAACATGTTTTGTTGGCTGATATATTACTCTCTTCTGCTTATCCGATTTCATCAAATTTTTGAGAATTACCAAAGAGTGAAAGATTCATTTTATTGAAACTTTTTGAACCTAATGGTTGAACACTTCTTCTGATAGGAAAAACTATTTTATCTGGTCTACTTATCAAAAGAAAAAAGAAAAACTACTTTATCTGGTTTAATGGTGTGTTTGTGCCAAGGGGAGATGCAACAGAGAAATGATTTGGGGACACGAGCAACTTATGTTTATTGCGACTATCATTAGAATAGAAATGCCTCTAATGCTTTTCGATCTACTGTAAACATAAATACTGGTGTTTAAATGGAGAACGGTAGAGGGGCGAACCCATTATCCATCGAGTTTCGGATAGTGCGCCAATGGCCCTCAGGGACAGTGCGCCTAAGAAATACACCAGCATGCTTGTGCCACCATGTCTCCCTTTGGCTCGTCCATTGGTTGAGGAAGACATTTATTGAAAAAACAGGAAGAAGATACATGAACCAAAAAAATTGAAGAAGTTGAAGCTATCTGATCAATGATCACGCGATCTAATACAATTGTACCATTTACAAGGTTAGTTTAGTCTTTTTATATACTGTTATTAAACAATGATAAATGAAGCAAGGGTTTTGAATAATATTAGGATATTAAGTGTTTGATTTTGAAATACAAGGGTAATGTCCATTACTGAACAATATTATACGGGTGTGTACTGTGTAGGGTAGTTTACTCTACAAAATAGGATGCAATTAGTGCACATGGGTAAGTCTTTCTCTAGGAACATGGAAATAGCATGAGCACATTCTGAGAACAAGATAAACAATGTTTCATCATTTGATCAGTGAATTAGTTGTCTTTAACATCAGGTTTCACATCTTGAAAGTTCATTAGTAAATAACATAACAAAGTACCTCACAGATATGTTACATGACAAGTAAAAACACTATAGATTTTAAAGCACCACATGCAAGTTTATCCTAGCGCAAAGTTTGCCTCTAACATGTGGCAAACTTTTATTAGAAACGGTTTGCCTTGTTTAAGCAAATAGACGAGCTCCGTATCCGTACCAACTACATCTGAGACATACAGAAAGTGCTTACACTCAACTTAAGCAATGAACAAGAACAAATATACCACATTTAACTCATCTGACGTCTAGACAGCAGGACGAGTGCTACTTCAGGCGACAAATGTTGTCTATTATAAATATCAAAAGAGCTGAAGTTAGTAATAAGTCACAAGCAATACTCATGCCGATCCACGTGATCATTATGCTGCCCAAAACGAGAGCAAGAGCTTTACATAGGAAACATGACCCTCTCTTACTTCAATGCAACTAGCGGAATTTCTGACCGTTGGCTTTTCTCCCTTGATTCCTCAATTGAGAGGCTCACAATAGATGCAAATCAAGAAATAGGACCACAATATAAGTCCATGCAGGTAGGTCAAACTCTTGACATTCCTTTTCTACAAGGATTAGCTACTATCCTTGTTTGTATTACTTGGCTCCAGTGACTTAGGTACATTATGTCAAAATATCACAATAGCATTACAAATAGAGTTACACCTGAAGTGGAGTTGTGCTTCAATGTTTTAGGGTTATATTTATCAATTAATTTTACATTCATACCTTATCATTTCCAGTTGCACTTGAAATGCATTAAACAAAGATTTTCATCTCGCTTGGTGATACACAACCATCGCACCTATATATTTTAACTTTTAATATTTTGAAACCTAGAACAAAATATATGTGAATTCTTAAAAAAAAATTCAAGTTATAGATACAATTCACTGCTCTATCTGTAGGCAAAAATAAGATAATTACTATACTAGGAAGAATTCTTGGTCAGAATAGAATAGATGACAAAAGTTTGCACTTCTATCTACCTTACAACAGAGAGGACCCTCGTAAACGAAGTTCATCCCAAAATCTCTTTATCCTGCATTCCTGTTCTATGGTGCTACCACTCAACCCTCATGATTATAGCAGCTAAATTAGCTTCTTAAAATGCTTTCTCCCAGCAATGGGTCTTGCTTATGCCTTAATGTTAAAGTGAAAGAAGATTCATCCTTTGATTGACTTAAAAAATATAAGAATTTGAATTTATTCCTGAAGAACATATACAGCTAGCGATTAGCAACAAGGAGAAGACCAAAACTGTTCTAGAAGAAAATGAACAGTTAGCTATTAGCAGCAAGGGAAAAAGCCAAAACCAGATACTAGACCAGACCATTATTTCTGCTCCAGAATAACCAAGTTTCCTCGCAAGGAAAAAAGCCAATACCAGATACTAGACCAGACCATAATTATTGTTCCAGAATAACCAAGTTTCCTCTTTTTCCCTATTAAGTTAGAGCCCGTTTGGCTTAACTGATTTAGAGTAGCTGATAAGCATTAGGTGCTGAAAAGCACTTTTAAATGCTGAAGCTAATTTAAAAAATAAGCAATTACGTGTTTGGATAAAAGTGTTGAAATTAATAATAAGCAGCTGAAGAACTGGGTATACGAAGAGTTTTGTTCTAAAAAGAAGTATTTTAGAGATAGAATAGTAAATATTTTGGTCAAAACCTAAAGTGTTTATAAGCTGAAATTTGATAAGTTGGGGGAGACCAACTTATGGCTTTTGGCTTATTTTTGGCTTATAAGCACTTAACTTATAAGCACTTTTAATTTTACCAAACGCGTAAATAAGCCAAAAAGTGCTTATAAGCCAGTTTGACCAGCTTATAAGCTTAGCCAAACACCCTCTTAATAAGTTTTGCTTGAAGAAGATTAATTAAAGAAGCTGCCTAGATCAAACAACAACCCTAGGAAGGACCCTAGCTGCAGAATTCTATGTGTTGCTCTTTAGTTTTACTCTGTCTAGAGGCATAACACTCCCATAAAGCACTGCTTCAAATGAGAAACAATTCCCAGCGCCATTTAGCGTGAAGTTGAAGAGAACACTATTGTTCCTCATGACTAACAAGTTCTCCTAGCAATATGGTTAAAAGATATCCTTTACATATGTGTCTTGTTCTATATTTGAAAAACAAGCAGAATTTAACAACACTTGAGAAGAAAGTACTCTTACAGGTTATTTATTACTCAACTATCTTGATCTGGGCTTTTCTACCTTTATTTTTGTTGCATGCTCAGTACCTTCCGTAGAAAAAGGACAAACCAGACTTTTAACATAGATTTCTGCCTCTTGCCAATAATCAGAATTAATAACGTCCAAAGATTTGAACGATTCATCCTTTGGATTGTATATCATGAAAGTTGATCCAAATACAACCAAAATTTCACCTTCATTTGACATGAAAAAGGGTGGAAAACAGGGATGATCCACTTGATCATCAGGATGCTTGATGACAAACATCTTTGTCCAAGATTTTGTAACCCAATACTCCTTCATAACCCAAACATCTACATGAGTTCCCCTACGATCACAAATTATTGAAAGATCACTTCCCAATAGTCCTAGCCAAAACAAAGCAATTTCATCTCTTCCATAACAGGGCAGCTCCACGTTTTCCCATTTCTCATCCGCCAAATCAAAAGAAATGATGTTCCCGAACATACACCTATTTGGACCAGGAGCCATAGTAGCCCAATGAAGTTTCCCATTCACAAACTTACCCGAAATATTTAATAGCATTCCACTTAGACAATCAATAACACTTGTCCAAGAATCACCTTTAGACTATATATTTTGAACTCAACTTGATCTAAACTGCCACATGTGAAGATACCCACTACCTTATAATCATCATGAAACTCATCATATCCAAAACCATATCTATGAAAATCATACGTCATTCTTTCAAGTCTAGGTCTAGAATCAGGCAATTTTTTGTACTTTCTAATCGATGGGTTCCACACAACCAAGTCATAGTCTTCCATGGCAAGACAAATCAATCCATTAACTGAACCTACGATCCGATCAGAATTAGGAAATCTCTTGTATGATCCATTGGACTTCGTGGGATAATCCAAGTCAAAAGCCTCGATAACAGACTCATTAAATAAAGAGCTAAGAGAACAATCTTTAATATTGTACTTAGATTCAAAATTCATCATAAGCCTATGGTGGGTGTAGTCCTTGTTATTAGCGGATATGTTGAGATGGGCTTTGACAAATTCAGGACTAGATATTAAAGCAAGCCAAGATTTTGAAACACACCTGAATCGCAATAGGGATTCCACGGGAAGCCTTAACAGGATTTCAGTGATGAGTTCTGTTTGAATAGGGATTTTAAAGCTTGAATGTTTTATGGGTTTGCTCTGTTTTGGGTGTTGTTCCATTTGGGTCGCTGAATTTGACGAGGTAGAAGAGGGTTTTGACGAGGTTTTGTGCAGGACAGTGGAGAAGATTTTTATTTCGAATAGTCACGTTTTTGTGTTTTTATAATAACCCGTTTTAGTATTTTCCCTGCTCCATATTAATGGGCGCATAATATTTAAAAACACATAATTATTGTTAAATGAGTTATTTAATTTATCAAATAAAACTTTTTTTAAAAACTATAGTAGTTTCTATATTGGTCAAAATCTGACCGCTGCAGTCGGCATAACCGAGATCCGGTCCAAGCAACGAGATAGTGGAAGACGGCATGGTTTGCACCAAAACCCCGTATTCACAACACCCGCCAAGGCAAGGAACGATACTCAGGGACCGACAAAAGCGGGCGTGGTGCGCAAGTGTATCAACCTATAGTGAGGATTCCATAACTATATATAGGGGAGGAGTCTTTCATGAATGAGGGGGCTTTTTTCTCTCTCTTATCTCTACTCTGTAATTTTCCTAGAAAAAGGAGCCTTCCCATGGAAGACAAAGATCAATGATCTTCATCGATTAATAAATGAGGAAATGAACAATATCAATAAGATTGATCACCCCTATTTCATCTTATGCATCATTTTCTGATTCGCTTATGGGTCTGGAGGTTATTAGGTTTGACTAAGATTTACCCCTTCATTCTCTTTGATTGATTTGTTCAAAAAAGTTCCAATATCTTTTGAGTCAAACAATTTGGCGCCGTCTGTGGGAATTTCTTACTGAAAACCTCCTAGTCTCCTCCAGATCGAAAACCGAAAATACGATCACCCACCGAGAGGAATGGTAAGTGAATCTCACACGCCAGCCTAGATCATGATACTATATGCAAGCAAAAGTTGCAACCAACATCATCCCTCGCATGCCGGGCAGCCCATGAACCAGTCAAAACAAGCCTGGCCCGCAGTGAACCAAGGCACAAAAAGGAAGGGAAGCAGAACCGAATACGGTTACCAAACTCAGAAAATACCATCATCGTCAATCATCGGAACGCCAAACAGAGCAAGTAACGCCACCGATCCACCTTCGTTCACCAACTCATCAGATCGGGATAAGGAGGATATCATCCTAATCCACCTTCTGTTGATTGCCTAAACAAGAACGTAAGCGCAGCACGAGCGAGCAAGCAAGAAAACACCCCAACTGAAGAATAGGAAATTATTACGGAACCACTGAAATATCGTCCACCAGACAAACCCGACGCCTCGGAAGTAATACCCTTCGAACGATACCTCATCTCCCTCATCAAAAAAGTATCCCAAGAAAGCCTCCCTGGGGACTTAAACATCAGGCCGACGAGGAGGAACCCCCGCGAGGTCAAAGCATANCCCGACCCCCCCCCCCCCGAAGTCAAAGCTTAATTCATCGTCCCACCCGCCAATTTGACATCTCAAAATCGGAGAACGAAAAGGTTAGATGGGAAAACTCCAATGTGTATGAAACGAGTGCGAGCTAAGCAGCAGCATTTCCTGTTCTCCGATATCACGCTCCCCGACGCAAGCAAAATTAAACTGACTGGGACTCGTCCTCGAAGTCCCTATGGGCGGAGTGATTCGCCAATCCACACAGTGCCCCGAGATAACTAACGGCGAGGCCAAGTATGAAGCCGTGGTTGTAGAGTTGAAATTGGCCCTTAAACATGGCACTCGACGACTCGTCCTCCATTACGACTTTCAACTCGTGGCGAATCAAGTCACTGGGACTTTCCAAATCAAAGAACAGAGACTACAGAAGTACCAGTTAGAAATTCACAAACCGCTACCAGAATTCGACGAATGCCGCCTCGATCAGATACCCAGGGCGCTGAATATCGAAGCAGACGATCTCGCCAAGCTAGCGGCAGCCACCAGAAATATCAACAAGGAAAACATGGTCACCCTTCTCCGTTTCTCGACGGACCAGGTCGAGGTACATTCTATAAACCCAACTTGGGACTGGCGCAACCGTATCGTAACACATTTTTAGAAGAAGCACACGAGGGGCTCTGCGGCGCCCATACGGGAAACCGTGCTCTCGTCAGATGCCTCATCCGTGAGGGATACTACTGGCCCACCATGAAAAAAGAAGCCGCATACTACATCAGGAAATGTGAACAGTGTCAAAAATACGCCCCTATGATACACCAAGCAGGAGAATTGCTGCACTCCGTCACTTCGCCATGGCCGTTCATAAAGTGGAGGATGGATATTGTCGGACCCCTTCCTGCAGGACGAGGTAAGGTACGCTTCCTTTTGGTTTTAACTAACTATTTTTCTAAATGGGTGGAAGCAGGTGCACACACTCAAATACGCGAGCAAGAAGCTATCGCGTTCATATGGAAAAATATAATATGCCGCTTCGGCATTCCCAAAGAAATTAGCTGCGACAACGGCCCTCAGTTCGTCGGAAAGAAAACAACCGAGTTTTTTGAAAAATGTGCCCATCTCAAATACTTCCACTTCTAAAAGGAGGCCCCTCCTAAGTCGTACTCTTTCTCCCTCACCCGGGTTTTGTCCCAATCGGGTTTTCTCGGTGAGATTTTTGATGAGGCGGCAAGGGAGACATCTCGAAGTCCGAAGTGTTCTTCATCACCCCGCCCATCGACATGATCTCCGGGCCGAGTAATGAAGGGAATGGGTATAGATAGCCAAATCTCCATTGTATATACAAAGTCAGCACATGTTTCCTACAAGAATATAATCAAAATATCCAATGTATGAACGGAACTATCATCCACGATACTCCAACAAATCTCCAATGTATGAACAAAACTAACATCCACGATACTCCAACAAACAGAATAGAGCGCCATACTTACGACGGGATACTGCTTCGACGCCAGCTCGAAAGTAACGTCCCAATGGTTAAGGCCATCGATAAAGATATGAGTTCGACTTCGATCGAACAACGATGGGTTAATATTTCGACGAAAGATCGAAATAACACCCTTAAGGCCAAGGGCCTCTGCCAAAAAAGAAGAGTTCGACCTCGATCGAACAACGACGGGTTAATATTTTGACGAAAGATCGAAATAACACCCTTAATGCCAAGGGACTCCGCCAAAAAGAAGAGTTCGACCTCGATCGAGCAACGATGGGTTAATATTTCGACGAAAG